ATGAGGCTGCTGGTCCGACAGGTGGCAAACAGGTTGCGGCTGGGTATCTGTGTTGTTTCTGGAGTTTTAAGTTCCTGGGGTTTGTTCACCGAAACTTCAGGCAGCGGCATATACCCTGGGGATATAGGGATTATATCATTGCCACTTTGGCTGAGCCTCAGAATAAATTACACAGGGAGGAGGGAGCATCCACCCAGTGTACGCCCTCCCGGCCTCATTTCCTTCTTGCCAGATGAAGAAACCAGACATCGAACTGAATGTTTAGGAGTGTTTGGTTCTGGAGCCAAATTTCCTGAGTTCCCACCCTGGCTCTATCAGGTGCCATCTCTGCAGCTTGGTGCGTGTTAGTGAGCCTTCCTGAGCTGCCCCAGTTCATCTGTGAATGAGATTGCAGAGCCCGGGACTACTTCAAGGGGTTGTTGTATAGGATAAATAAGGTAATTCATGTAATGAGTTTGCATAGTGCCCGGGACATGACGAATGTTCCATAAGTGTTAGTTACCCAAGGCTCTCATTTAAAAATTCAAAATAATCTACATTAGTAAGACTGAGCATCCACTGTGCACATATCCTCATGCTCTGGGGGTGACACGGGTGGGGGCACAGATCCGGGAAGAATGTGAAGTCTCTTCAGCTGAGATTTGCGGGACAGGCAGAGGAGGGACTGGGAGGCATGGGGAGGATCTAGGTGGGGGAGCAGTGTGAGCAAAGGCACGGAGCAGGGAAAGTGAGGGGCCCCGTAGGGGAACCAGCATTTATGCTCATGCTCCTGGAGGATAAGGAGCCCAGGAAAGAAGAGGCATGACATGAGAAGAAGCTGGGTTTGAGCCAGCTCATAAGATGACTTTTTGATGAGGGTCTAATGAATTCATTGCCAAGGAAAACTTAATTCAAGTTTTACTTGAAGTTTGATTACCAGATTGCTCCACGTAGCCTATACCGATTCTTGCCACACCTCCCGTCCACTTTGGCATTTCCACCTTACACAGGCTGATTCTCGAGTCTGCATTTCAGCATACTGCTTGGGTCTCTCCCCAAATGATGATTGCCACAGAAACACAGTATTTCTAAAGAGAAAACCTAGAGCTAGTCAAGAATATAAATTCAAAGGCAAGATCCATGGCATTCAACCAAATAAATGCCCATCCATGTGGCATGCTATGAAGCTTTAATTACTGTGCTCAAGATCAAAGTAATATTACTCAAGAGTGGAGAAGCCAAATGTAAATGAAGGAAGTCTTCCTTAAATAACTGATGACCAATTCCCTGAGCTTAGTGAAATGTTCCACTGTATTTATACCCACAATCACCTGATGGCCCTTAAGCACTCATGTAAGCAGGAGAGTATGGTATTGGGCTGTGTTATGTACAAGACAGGGTTTACTGGGTGGTGCTCACAAAGCATACAAGGATATTAATGTCACGGGAAGATGGCTTTGGGCTAAAGGCAGAGCATCCTTATATGTGCAGTGCTAGGCTGTGATCCCGAGCATTAAACCCTGAGCATAGTTTAGATATTTGTTAATATCTGTACTTTACTGTTTCCTGTTTTCCAACTTCATTACACAATAACCTAAAATATTAGCCATCTGCTCTAATCCAGACCCCAGGGAGAGGAGGATTGAGATGGGGCCAGAGGGTCTTTTCATAAAGTTCTATTTTGGGAAGGATACAGACAAGAAAGTACTTGGGAGTCAGGAAAGGAGATTGCTTTACTAGTCCATAGATTGGCAGTTAGAAACCCTGGTTTCTGTGGTTCTGCTTTTCATTATTAAATCCAGACTGAGGATAAACATTTTATTTCCTTTGCTCCTGTCCCTCTTCTCTCTGAATTCACTATATCACCAGCATGCGGTCACCCCGTGTCCTTACTGGGGGTAAGAGACTGAAAACCAATCCCTTCTTCACCTTGACAGACCCTCCCCTGTTTTGGGCTTTCGCAGGGGGAGAGAGGAGAGATGGGGGGAGCAGGAGACTCTGCCAGGAGTGGCGGCAAAGTGCTCCTGAGCCATTTGCATCAGCTCAGAAGTGAGAATGGAGAATTCAAACCTTTAAGATCTTTTGCAATCTGGCCTTAGCCAGTGGTCTTCCATTTCCTACTGTCCCAAATTCTTGGCTCCAGGTATACACCCCCACTCATTGTCCCCTTGCAGAAACCCCTGTAGATTAACTACTCCAAAGCCATTCTGAATATCATTCTCCTTTGCTGCTCCCCACTATAGAGGCTGGAAAGCCAAACACACAGTTTCCCCATCTCTGGTGCAGGTGTGGGTGACTCTGTCATTTCTGGCCCGATAGATATAAATGGAAATCTGCTGGGGGGGCTTCTGCCTTTGTTTCCTCAAAAAATTAGATGGATACTATCGATACAGCCTTTCCTCCTCTCCCTTTTTTCCTGCCTTAAACATGGACGTGATGGCAGGAGCTGCAGCAACCATCTTGCAGCCGCGAGGGAAACAGCAAGCAAGCACAGAGATGCAAGCACTGAGCTGCTGAGCCTACTGCTAGATTTCTTGCTATGTAAGAACATAAAAGTGTTTTAGTTTAAGCTGCTGTTGGTTCAGTTGTCTGTTACTTACAGCTAAATGTGGCCCTAAAGTAGGTGCTGGGGGGCATAAGGGGGAACAAAGCAGGTATGGGCCTCCTCCTTATTATCAAGAGAGAGAAAAAGAATAAGTCTCTAAACTGCAAATGGTGGTTTGTGTTAAGAAGGAAAACATAAACACAACATTATGATAGAGAGCTATGGGGGACCCTGGTTTAGACGGAGGGGCCACTGAAGACCTTTTTGAGGAGGAGGGGGTTAAGTTAGGACCTACAGGATGAGAAGGCCCAGCTGCTTGAAAAAGAGAGAAAAAGGGTTTCTGGCAGACACAATAGCTAGGGTGAAGGCCCCGGGCAATAAAGAGCTTAGTATGTTCAAGGAAGTAAAAGTTCACCGATGCTGGAGGATCAAAGGAAGACATTAGAGAGATAGGAAGGGGAAGGAGTGGTCAGGGGCCAAATCACACAGCCTGGCAGGGCATGAAATGGAGTGTACCCTTCAGTTCAAGGGCAAAGGAGAGTTTTAAAGCCAAGTCCCTCTGGATGTTGCATAGGAATGGATCAAAGGGAGGTGAGACCAGTTAGGAGGTCATTGCAGGAGTCCAGGGAAGAGAGATGGTGACATGGCCTAGGGTGGTCCAGTGGAGGCAGACTTGACTCCATGGCACTTACTGATGTAGTAACACTCACTGGTCACCTCCTCCTCGCTGATTTTCTCGTTTTCCTCCCATACCACTGGCCATGTCTTTTCAATCGTTGTCAGGCTCTTTTCCTCTGCTCTTCTCTGAACATCGGGGTTCCCCTGAATTCTCACCTACATTCTCTTCTTACCCCACAGCCTTTCCCTGGGAGCAGCCATAATTCATCCACTCCATCAGTATCTTCATGACCTCCACACATATGTCTGCAGCTCAGGTTTCTTCTTCAGCATCAAACCCTCCTTCCAACTGTCTAGGAGACAGCTTCCCCCAGGTGCTCCACAGGCCTAACCACTGTCTTGTGGACACTGCTCTTGATCACCTGCTTTGTGCCTGTGCTCCCTACCACCGAGAGCGGGCCCATCCACCCTGTCCAAGCCAACTTCCTGGGCATTGCCCTTGACCCCTTCTCCCTCGTCTCACTCACCTGTTCCGCTCTAAGTCCTGTTGATCCTTGTTTCTCTCAAACTGTCCCCTTCTCCCCATCCCCAGGCCACCATCTTAGCTTATAGGCCTCCGTCATCTTAGAGTTTTGTGACTAGTCTTCCTACCACCAGGTGCATTCCCATTTAATCTATCTTCCACACCAAGGACAGAATTTTCCCTTTAAAACACGACAGTATCATGTTCCTGCTCAAAGTCATTCACTTACTTTTCATAAAATTCAAACTCTTTGACATGACCTAAGGCCCCCGTGGTTGCACTTTTGTCTTGATCCTGAGCTCAGTGTGTGAGTCTGTGGGCCCTCAGCTGTGTGTGAGAGTCACAACAGTACCTCCCTCCTAGGGGGTGTATGTGGGGTACATGGGGATGATGTGAGGGACCCAGCATGGGGTCTGACTGGTGGTCAGGACTCAGTGGCCGGTGTACTTTCCCACTGATCCTCAGAGAGGGGCCCGGCCCGCCCCTCAGAAGAGATCCCTATTCTGAACGGTTGCCAGGAAAGGTGATGGCATGGCTCTCACCCCTTTCCTTAGCAAACCCCATTTTATGTCCAGTGAGAACCCTTCCTCATGAGGATTCAAGCTCATTTTTGTTTCTTTCCTCACTGCTTATGTAGTAACTTTCTGATGGGTGCCAAGGTGGGTTTCTCCCGGAAAACCTGTCCAGTGGTCCCCGGGGGTGGGGGTAGGGTGGCGGGAAAGGGGGGAGGCTGTTGACGGGGCCGGGCCTTGGTGCACCTGGGAGGATCAGCATACTCTCCACGTGCCCTGTAACTGTCCTGCTCTTCTGTCCTCTTGCTTACCTACACATTCTGTTCCAGCTCAGCTACTTTCCCACCCGCCCCTCACAGCCTTGGGGGGTCCCTTTCCTTCTCGGCAGGCCAAATGGCATGTTCTTCTTCAGCTTATGAAACTGGACCTCAGCTTTTTCTCACCTCACCTTATCCCCATGAATAAATCCTGCAAGCGGATTTCCTGTCTCCAGGGACGTCTATCAGAATGTGATGATTTTCCCCCTTGGTTTACTTTTGTCCCCCCTGGAACCCTTCGTGGACCACAGCTGCAAACAGGATCCTCAACTTCCGATTGTAGAATCCCTACGACTCGGTTGCGGTAAATGTCTGTGATGTGGGGATGTTCAAGCATCTGGTACATATCCTTCCACTCTGGGATCTTTGGTTTTATATTCTGAAGGACTCTGGAACTAAATATGGGATTCCTGTCACAGTAAACATCACCATTAGTACTTATAACGATATTATTTATAAGACTGTGCAGTCTTGGAAATAACTATACTCTGGATTTGTCTCAGCTGTTTAAGTCAAAGATCTTTATTTTCAGTTTCTTTTCAGACAAAGGTCTTGCAAGAATCACAGATGAAAGATCATGCACAAATCACATTTTTTCCTCCACCACAAAAATACAGGTTCAATCATTTTTAAAGATCAGTTTTGAGTGACCCAGATAGCTAGGAAAATGTTGCTGGATTTTTTTCTGATCTACCACAGAACTTTCCAAGTCAGTTCGAAGGATGCTGTCTACCTTGGCTGTCTGAGCTCCTACCAGGAGAGAAAGAACATAGACGGAATATGCATATTTCATAAAATTGGCAGTACATGATGGCTTTGAAGGGGAAGTTGGTGAAGCTGGAGACACAGCTGGAAGCTGTGTTCCCTCCTTCTCCCCTCAGGAAACAGACACAGAAACAGACATCTGGGAAGCTGTAGTGCAGCGAATTACTCATGCTTTCACCAGCCAGACCTCATTGCGACGTCCGTAGGGCTTCATGGGAGGGTCATAGCCAGTGCAGAAGTAGACGTCACTCCGGCAGGTGGCCGTGCCCTCCAGGGCGGTACGCAGCTGGGTGGCATGAACTACATAGTCAGCTTCCTTCGCATACCCACCGAACTGCCTGAGATAGAAGAGAGTACAGGGCTGGTTAAGGGAAGACGTGATCTCCAAGAGAGGGGGGAATCTTTTTTATTATTTATTTTTATTATTAAGATTGTATTTATTTATTTGACAGAGGGGGAGGGGTTACAGGCAGAGGGAGAGCAGAGATGCAGGCTCCTTGCTGAGCAGGGAGCCTAATGTGGGACTCTATCCCAGGACTCTGAGATCATGACTTGAGCCGAAGGCAGATGCTTAACCGACTGAGCCACCCAGGTGCCTTTTTTTTTTTTTTTTTTTTTTAAGATTTTATTGAGAGCTGGGAATCTTTAAAAAAAGAAGTCACTTGCTACTCTCACTATGACAAGCATGCTGGAGCAGTGAGATGGCACATCTGCCACTCCCTCGATGGGTGGATTTGACCCCCCCCCAAGCCTCAGATCCTCGTTTGTGCACCTGGGATATGCTATCTTTTTCCTCCAAGGTTGTGATGAGCATTAAATACAATAATGGATGTGAAAACTCTAATGCAGAGCCTGAAACATGGCAGTCAAGTACTAAGTGTGAGCTCTCCTCTCTTTCCTGAAATATCCCCGAGTGACGGTAGGCTGCCCTTCCCCTAGGCCGTGCCTTCGCCCTTCTCTCTAGCTCTCTCCTGCCTTGGCATCTCCTCCTCTAGGCCCCTCTGTCTCCAGCTGGGGAAGGAGGAAGACGCAGGGGCTTTAGTTATAGCTTAGAGATGCAGCGAATGCTTCTCCCCCAGCAGATCCTTTCTGATGAGTGAGCACATCACAGCGCTGACACATAGCAGCTTTGTTAAAAACACAGAGCGACCAAAGGCAAGGACCCGAGGAAGTCTTGGGAGGCCCCTTGGCAAGTTTTAAGCATGCCCCAAATAAAGAAATCACTTCTAATAAATCCCTTCTCCTGCACAAATCATGAAAGCCTTCTTTTTCTAGTAAGTAACAAGACTTTCCTAAATCAGGCTTTTCTCTTAATGGCAGAAGGTGGGGACAGAGAAGGAATAAAGCTTGCCTTTTCAAGATGATTATTTCCCTCCTTACGTCATCTGCCTACGCTCCAAAATTCATCCTGTGGCCTACCCTAAATATACCACTCTAAATCTGAGTTGCACTAAAATCTTTATTAGAGTCAAATATGTCCCCATTTCTAATGAGCTTTATGACTCAAAAGTCTGAATCTGCACCAGGCCAGGATTAGGCGAAATGCATTATTTTTGGTGGGGTTCTCTGAGTCATGCTTTGCTCTTTTATAAGTGGTTAGTCATGCTCAACGAGCATTCAGCATGTTGTTTACAGGGTTATTGATGTAAAAACACCCAGGATTTCATCTTTAAGGGATTGGTTCTTCCAACATCTAGACAATCACTACAGTACACAGACACAGCCAAGACCAATTCGGAATAGAAGAGGCTTGGTTCAAGGATATTGAAGAAAGATCACAAGGCAGATGAGGAAAGTTGAACTCTAGCTTCACTGAGGCTCGAATGAGAGGAAACTGCATTAGTAGACCGAGGATGGACATTAAGGATAAAGACTGTTCTGGCAATAAAAGCCAGCAAGACAATGGAATTACTTTCAAAGAACGTCTATAGGTTGAGAACCACTTGCCTGAGACGAATCAGTTGTTGAACGTAGGGGCAGGTGTTGAGTGCCCCCTGCATCCCGCACTCATGCTGTGACACTCGATTATTATCCTTGAAAATGAGCCATGTTGGCTCTTTAGGCTACTGGGTTTTAGAAATGTCCAAAGAAAGAGTGGTCCTCAAATACCTTCACTCATCAGTCAGTGGCAAAAGTGCTAGTTGTGTGCTCAATCCTACCTCGGCCCCTTTCTAGCTCATGGTCTTGGGCAAATGCTTTAACTTCTTTAACCTTCAGGTCCTTCCACTGTTAAATAGGGCTGATTATATCCATCTTCGAAGGCTATTGTGAAGATGAAGGGAGACAAGATGGCGGACTGCTCAGCAGAGTGCCGGCTTACAAGTAGGCCCACAACAAACAGGAGCTGTTACTGTTGCTTTGCAATTGCTCAGAACAGCCATCCAGTTCCCTGCCTCCTGGGGTGAGGGGCATGACAGGGATCTCAAGTAATATCAGGAACCCAGGAAGAGAGCCTAGTAACGAGCTGGCTCGATGAACAATCTCATCTTCTCGATTGGGCTTTCTTGCAAAACCCTATTGAATCTTTAACCCCACTCCCACTTCCCATTCTTTTTCCTTTTTTCTCCTTGCTCTTTCTTTTCTTTCTCACTCTCTTCCCCTTCCTCCCTCCCCCTTTCTCTTTCTTTCTCTTTCTTTCCTTTCTTTCTTTTTTCTTTTCTTTTCTTTTCAGCACTTATGACCTTCTAACATACTATATAATTCACTAATTGTGTTCATTGTTTATGGTTTGAATTTCCCAGTAGAATATAGGCCCCATGAAGGCAGGAATCTTTGTCACTTTTTGTACACTGGGGTGTAGCCTGAGCACCTAACACAGTACCTGACACATGTTCAATCCCTTGGCTAAATCAACAATTCTGGGGTAAACAGTAAAAGTTAGCGTCTTCAGGTCTTCGGATCGATAGGCCTCAAGATGACTGCACTTAAGACTGTCTGCCTCCACATTCACTCACTCGTATAATGAAACCTGAAGCACAGTAAGGGGACAGTGGTGGGAATCCAGCCAGGGAAACTGGATTAACTGGAGCCACACTGGGAAGGGCCATGAATGCCATGCCGACGACTTTGAACCTGATCTTAGATGCAAAGGTGGACTTACGAAGGCTTTGAAAGTAAGGCGCTGACATGATCAGGTTGTGTTTTGGAGAAATCCTTCCAGCGGCAGTGGAGGGAAAGAGATGGACTCGCTGGAGGCCAGGAACGGCCACGTGTGAGATGGCAAAGGCCTCTGGACAAAGGTAAACTTGAGAGGTGACTGATGCGAGGGGAGGGCAGGGAGAGGGGGAGTCGAGGATTCTCTAGGCTTTCCAGTGAAGTCTCTGGATAGAAACTGCTGCTAGGGATGCTAGGGTGAAGAAAAGGAGGAGTGGGGATGGTTGATATTATGGTTTGGGGGCCATGTTGATATGAAGGTGCGTCTGTGAAATACATTCATGCAACAACTATTGTGTACCTAAGTGTGTGTCAGGCACTGTGCAAATCTCCTCAGACCTGGGAAGAACTGGAGCCAGAGATCCTGATTGGGGAAGGAGGTGGGTCTAGTGACAGATCCTGGGAGTCTTCAGTGCGTAGGTACTGGCTATAATCATGGTAAGGAGGGAGACAGGGCCTAGATGGTGAGCAGACTGAGGGTCAGCAGTTTGCTCTTGGGAATCCTAGTCTCCAGGTAGTGGGTGGAAGAAGTGGCCTTGGAAAGGGCCACTGGAGAAGGAGTTGTCTGAGAAATACAGAGACCCAGCAAGTGATATGGAGAATGTCATCGTCTGCAGATTCTTAAATTCACTAAAAAAAACCCTCCCAAAACAAAACAAAAACAATTTAAAAATATTTATTCCCAGGCTGACTGAGATGCTGATAACGAAGATAAAAATTTCCCTCTTGCTTCATCATGGAACATTCTACTAGAAAACAAGCAAAGCGAATGGGCTAGAAAACAGCAGATCCATGTGTTCTCCTCACGGCCGGTCTAACCAACACACCCTCACCCAAGCACAGAACTGCACAAACAAGCCAGAAAACCAAACCCTACCAGGCACATGACCCTACTATACACAGCAGAGGCCTAGTGCTGGCTCCTCAGCTTGTTCGGGGATAAGCCACCCTCTTCCCTCCACGCCCCGCGCCGCCCCCCCCCCCCCCCCCCGCCCCAGCTTCCAAGCTGTACGTGGAGGGCAACACAGTGCCCACAGTCTCCGCATTCACAAGCATGTTAGAGTGTGACTTCAAGAATTCTCGTAAAGCACTTTGAGCTCCTCAAAGGACATAAACATGAAGTCTACACATTATTTTTGTAAGCCTATTAACAAGTCTCTGTCTCCATCTTCAAAGAAGCTCTCCTCCAGGGCACTGTATTTTATCTCCCCCCACGTCAGAGTTCAGTACTGGAACAAAGACTTTGGTTACTATGGGAACCGAGGAAAGACACACACACCCCCTGGATTCCAGAAACACAAAAGGAGCTGACTACAAAGGTCTGGAAGAGGTTTGTGGGGCGGGGATGAGGCAGGCTAACAGATGGAGGCTTTGGTCCCAGGAGGCAAGAAATCATAATGGTTGAGGCATGCAGTGGGGTTGACGGAGAAATGCATGGTCTGAGCCTTTAACAATCAAGAAGTCAACACAAATTTGGGGAGGGTCTGCTATGCATATAGCTCTGTGCTAGGCGAAAGAAGTGTAAGACTAGGAGCTGATAGTTGCATGTCAACGGGAAAGAGGCTTCACCCCAGAAGGCATTTCATTCAGTCAGACTGAACCATGCTTACTGAGTTGAGCATGACGGGGCACAAAACACAAGCTAGACACCACAGAGCTGTAAAGATGACAAAGACGTCTTTGTGCCCTTGTGAGGTCTAACTCTAGTGGTCAGGCAGCGACACACATAAAGATTATATAGGGCAGAAGGAAGCACTAGAATGAAGGTAGAAGGTACAGATGGAATGTTCCGGGGGTGGGGAATAGGGAGTGATTGGTTCTGACTTAGAACATGAAGGGAAGGCGTTATAGAAGACCTGATATTAAGCCGTTGTTTATTGAGCATCTCTTCTTGATGTCTTGATGTCAGCAATGAACAATATGACAAAAATGCCTGGCCTTACATGGCTTCCACCAAGGAGAAGCTGGAGAAGGGCTGTAGGAGGAGCTGGGCGAGTGGAAGTGGATGCTGCATGTGGACGTGTTTGGGGGGGCATGCCCTGAGATCAGGTGGACACGGGGTGGGGTGTGTTGTGGATTAGATGCCACGATGAAGCATTTTTACTAGGCTTCGCTGCTTGGCTAAACATTTGGGGACCCAACCCAAAGTCTACCCAACCCCCGACTCATTTTATTACCAGCCTGG